CACATCCACACATCAGCACCTGAACCAAGGTGCCTGCCACGGCCAGCCACGTCCACCGTCGTCCACCCTCCTGAGAGGGCTCCCTGCCTGAGCGATGCTCTCTGTTGTGACACCTCCACACCCTGGGGCCCCTTGCACATGTTGGGGGCACGGGGACAAAGTCCTCAACCACTGGGCTGTGTAACAGTCTGACTGTGACATCCCTGTCACGACCAAAACCAGGACAGAAGGAGGGCAGGGCAGCCAAATGAGGAGCCGGCAGCTCTTTCTGTCCAGAAGCAAAGGGCCGGTGTTCGTGAAGTGGGTCATGAAATACTCATACGACCAGAAATGATGCCTCCAGGAGGGCAGCATTGGAGGCGAGGGAGGGGACCTGCTCGTTGGATGAGCCCCGTTCGTGTCAGCACAGAGAAGGCACGGCTGGGGTGTCAGCTCAGGTCCCTGAAACATCCCCCGGGCACGGGTGGGTGAAGGGGCTCAGAAGATGACCGGTCCTGCAGGGAGAGAGGAGGGGATGGACAGACAGAGCCCAGGGACTGCCTGCAGGGCCACAACCACACAGCCCAGGGCAGGGAGAAATACCCCGGCCGTTCTCTCCCTGGTCCTCCCATGCACTGGACCCAAGCAGAGGTCGGCAAGCAAGTCCGGGCTCAGCCTCTGGGCCAGAGCGAGGGGAAGGGTGGGGTGGCCAGAATGAGCATCACCGTTGCCCCCACCCCCGAGCTCCTTGAGCCACTCTCCAGCCACTCCGATTGGGCAGAGAGGGGATGCCACATCTCCCAGGCTTGTGCCCACACCGTCTGGCTCTGCAGGGGCAGGTGGCCAGGCTGGGGATGGCTCTCCCGTCCCATCCCAGGGGGTCGCCTGGTCAGCAGGTCCCCGATGGATTCTCTAAGGGCAGACGCACACTGGCCCATATGCAGCAACAGAGGCGTAAACTTCGTTTCCATCCGTCCACTTCCCTGCAGACCCTTCTACCAGGAAGACAAACGGAGTTTGTGTGGCATGGCACAGGCTGTGGACAGCCCAGCCCAGGGGCCTCAGCTCCCAGCAGCCCCACTCCACCTGGGGCAGGAGCTCAGAGCCTTTCCTCAGCTTTCCTGCTCACCTGGCAGGAAGCTGCTCCGAGGCCAGGCTGGCTCTGAAGGGGTCCCACTCCCTCCAGCCAGCAGGGCCACCCCCTCCCCACTGGGACCTAGGCTTGCACCGCACTGCCTTCTGCGTGGGGCTTGCCTGCGACATTCTGATGTCCTGGTTCCTGGGGTGCCGCTCCCCAGCCCCAAGCCCCCACAACATACCCCCAGCTGAGTCATGGGAGGGACCCTCTCAGCTCCTGGTCAGCACAGCCTCTCTCTCCTTTCCACAGACCCAGGCTCTCTGCCCACCAGTGGGGTCCTGGGACAGCTGGTTCCTGCAGCCGGGTGGATTACGGAAGCCAGGGGCACAGCACTGGGATGGAGCAGGGAGAGACGGCCGGCAGCTCCCAGCACCACCGCCGTGCAGCCACGCTCAGGGAAATGAGACTCAGAGAATGACCTGGAAGGACCTTGGTGTGGTCAGCCCCACGGCCACGGAGTGGGTAGGGGAGGAAGGGGAAGTGGGCTGACGGGGAGGGGCGGAGGAGCCTCCTGGCAAAGACAGGGCCGCTGCCTCCTGCCTCCTGCTGTGGGGTGTTTGGTCCCCAGGGCAGACAGGAGGACAAGGACCCCAGGACCTTGCGAGCCACCAGCCTGCAGACACTCTGCCACCCTGGTGGGACGCTCAGCCCTGCGTGGCTGGTGGCATGAGGCACCCGATCAGGCCCAGACTGACCCTCACAGGTGTCCCCATGTCCCCTGCTGGCCCTTCCACTTGCTCTAAACCAGGCTTTGGGCGTCACCTGCTTCCAGGCCTGGAGAGTCTCGTCAGCATCGAGGTGCTACTTGTGACCAGCCTGGCTAGGGACAGGGGCTCACCGTTGCCCAGAAGGGGCCAGCTCACGAGTCACCTGTACCTGCAGAGCCCAGGGGCCCTCTTCCAGGATGTTGTATGGCCTGAGAGGCACCAGAGAACTCTTCCAGGCTCCCCTCCGCACCCCAGAGGGGTCCTGTCCACTTTCCTGTGGACAGGAAGGCAGAGCCGTCCCGGGACACCGCCCTCAGGAAGGTGAGCCCTGGGGGTGGAGGGGACACGGGGGCTTCCCATGGGCAGCCTGGCTCTTGTGGGCTGACAAGGAGACCTACCGCTCTCCCCTTTCAGGCATGTCTGCAGGCAAGGGGGCCCCTCCGAGGGGCTAGGAAGCTTTGGGACGTTCCTACAAAAGATGTGGTCCTGGCTAGCCGTGTGAGCACTGGCCTCCAGGTGTCTCCCCTCGGCCCCTGCACGACCTTGGCAGACAGCTGCCGCCCCTGGCCTCAGTTTCCGTCTGTGTAGGGGTGCCCCATGGCAGTTCAGCCGCCAGGATTGCAGGGAGGACAGCGGCTCGCAGGCGAGGGCCTCGGCCAGCTGCCGGCCGGGCACTGGGTGTTTGTTGGGTTCAGTCTCCAGTCTGAGCTCAGCTGCTGGAAGAGAGTGTGAGAGAGGCAGCCCTGGCGCCAGCCCTTACATCTGTCTCTGCGCTGCCTTCTCCTCACGCACAGCCCCTCCGTCCACGTTGAAGAAAGTAACTTTATGGAGCAAGCCGGCATGCACTCGACTTTCAGACACAAGCCTCACATCACAGGAAAGGAGAAGTGCTTCCCAGCTGTGTCCGCCCCCTCAGGGCGCTGCCCGCGGTCCGGTCTGCCGTCTGCAGGCACGGAGACTGCTTTTTAATCCCAGAAAAAGGCAAACCAGAGGGCCGGCTCTAGGCTATTTTAAGCACAGACTTAGAAGTAAAAGCAGCTGGAGAGTGAGAAGTTTTAGGAACATTTCCATTTCCTGGAGTGATGGAGCGGAGAACCTGGCAGGCGGGCCGAGCAGCCCGAGCCCTCCGCTGGCAGAGCCAGGCTCCAGGCCTCCGCCGCCAGCCCCCGGCTCAGTGTGTGGTGCGTGCTGGAGGCCGGCAAGCAGCCCGGCCTGGCAGGCCGTGCCAGGTGAGCAGTGACTCAGCAGGTGGGCGTGCTGGCTGGACGCTAAGGCGGGTGTGTCCACAGGCCCCAAGCTGCCGAGGACTCCAAGGAGAGACGGCAGCCCTGCCCTGACCCTCTCAGAGTTGGCCAGGCAGTGCCCATGTGGCCAGCTCTTCCCCCAGGACCACCTCGAGGGCCGAGGCCACGGTCCTCAGTGCGGCCTTGAGTCCCTCCTGCTTTCCTCTGCTGCAGGATGCCCGCCTGGGAGGCCTCTGGCTGGATCTGAGGAATCTGCATCCTTGGCCATCCTCTCTCTCTGTGTGTCCCCTTCCCGGGCTGGCCTGGCCGTGTCCTGTGTCTCTGGAACTGGACACCTAGACACAGACCACAGGGCTTGGCGTAGGGGCCTCCCCTAGCGGGGAAGTCCGTGAGTCCCTCGAATACCGTGAGCTCCCTTATCCTGTGTCCAGAGACAGGTCTGCGCTGAGGGGCCCGCTCTGGTTCCTGAAGGGCTTCTGCACGTGGGAGCCCAGAAGTTCCCACTCAGTCGCCTGCTCCCCGGCCAGCACCTTCCTGCGTTCGGTGCTGGGTGCTGGCTTTGCTGGGTCCTGACCCTGGGGCAGCCCCAGCAGGGCAGTGTCTGTTTCAGGGCCACCTCCTCCCACGGCCGAGTTCTCAGGCCACAGTGGAGGGGCCAGGCTGCAGCAGGCCCTGCTCCCCAGGCTTCAGCTGCGGGGAAGCTCCCAGCCAGGGCTGAGAGCCCAAGGGACTGGGGACGCTGGATGTGGAGCTGGACACCTGGGGAGGTGGTCCCATCAGAGCTCCCGCTTCCCTCTCAACCCCCTGGAGACTCATCACTGTGGGCGCGCCACTGCCACGGCGGGCGGAGGGAGCACTCGGCACATGCACGTGGCTGCCCCCAGTGTGCGACGTCTGCAGCCCACACCACTAGCAGCTCTGAGCCTCCGATGGACTTGTTCTCGCTGACGACTGGCCAGCGTCCCTGTAGCTCAGATCTGCTGCCCCGCGACCCTCAGCACAGCGTGGATGGCTGACCCTCTCCCTGCAGGGCCAGCACCCGCACGCCGACCGGGTCCTTCCCGGGGAGGAGGGTTGACTGCTCCATGCGGTCTGCCTCACTGCTCACGCTCACCGGTGGGCATGACGATTTCAGGGGACAGACAAGCGCGATCACCTGGCAATTCCTTTCAGGCCACAAATTACTTTTTCAGAGGGAAAAGCCTCATCTTTGCCAGAAGGCCTGGGAGGCAATCGTGAAAATTATTTCTTCTCTCAGGATGTCAAAGGACTGCGGAGGGGCGTCTGTCTGGAAGGGCCCGCTGTAGGGTGAGCACATGGGCGGGAGGGGAGAGGCCTCACTCCCGGGGGGCCAGTCCTGACCTCAGCCACACAGTGTCCCCATCATCACTCTCGGTGGAGGGGGGGAATGTGCCTCAGGACAATTCCATGAGACTGTGATGCTGTCTCGTGCTCCCTGGAAGCTGCCATCTCTGGGCTGTGGTGAACACCCATGACCTATGCACCTTTTCGGTCACCGACTTACGAGTCTCTCCTCATGAGTGTCTTGTAAGTCACAGCATCCCCCCGACCCGGCCCAGGGGCATTTCCGGATGGGGCACTTGTGGGAGTCCCTTCTCCCAGTGGGGCTGAGTGTGGGCTGGGCAAGCCCTGCCAGCCACTTGGACCTCATCCTTTTTCTTTCCAGAAATGGAGCAGGTGGCTCTGCCCCAGGACGTCCGGCTGTCTTTCCTTCTAAGCCCAGACGTCCCCTCTGGCACACAAGTGCTTTCTTGTGCCGCTGTGTGGCTTTGCACCAGAGATGACCACGTGGACGGGGTGGGGATAGCCTGCTCTGGGGTGAGGCCAGACTCCAGGCCTTAGGACAGTCTACCCCCACTGAGGGGTCTCCGGCATTGGAGCTGCTGGGCCCGGAGGTTGTGCTGGCGGAGTTTGGGCAGGGCCTTTCTCAGTCACTAAGGCCTCTGGTTATGAAAGTGCCAGGTCAGATGGTGGTCAGGGGCCTGAGCCCTCGGGTGATTGATCCGCTGGCCCAGCAGCGTCCAGCCCACAGGTGGGCCTGGCGAGCATGCCCTGCAGTCAGTCTGTGGGCTCAGAAGTGAGCCAAAGCGTCCTGGGGAGGGACCTCAGAGCACAGGCTTCTCGTCTGGCTCCTCACAGAGCCGCCTCCGGGGCCAGCGCTTCTCCACGGCCAGAATGACCACCCTGAGGGCCAGGACCTTCAGTGAATGGCTCGGGGTGCCCAGGAGCCGTGCTGGCCGGGCTACTGCTCTTCTGGTGGAAACAAGCCAAGAGCCTGTGTGTTTGGGGGACCCCTACACCTTGAAGTGGCTGGAGCTTCTGCAGGCTCCTTGGCTGTGACTTCTTGAGATCTTTGCTCACTTGGAATAAGGGGCCATGTTTTCATTTGGCATCCTGGCCTGCAGGCTCTTTGGGGGACACTCCGACCTTTGAGAAGGGCCAGGAGCCCCCCAGAATGCACCACAGAGGACAGAGGAAGAAGGGGGCTTCTTGGGGGCAGTTCAGGCGGAGGAACTGCAGCGCCTGGGCCCGAGGTGGGAGGGATGGGCTTCGGTTTCCAGGGCGGGATGCTCAGCAGCCAGGCCTCCTTTGGCCAAATCCCCAGCTCTTTCGGGGCCCTGAGAAGAGAGCACCCTCCCCCCCGGAGGAGGGGCTCTGTCCCAGCCTAATAATAACTCCGGCGCGCTGGCCCAGCTACCAGGCTATTTTTAGAGTCCCTGACCCAGCCCACGTGACTCAGCCCGTGCTGGGACAAGAATGTCACAGGATGGCTGAAGGCCATGATGCTCTAGGGACCAAGCGTGGGCAGGCCAGGCCCGGGGCACAGGAGGGCCGGCCAGCGGAACCCTCCTTCCTGCCTCGCGCCCTAAGCCATGGGTGCCCTGGGTGCCTCCAGCCCTCAGCCCCACCGGCCTGCGGCTCCCTCCCTGCGGCGCCCGGCTCCTCCCCCAGGCCAAGCATGGAAAATCTGATGTCAGAATTCCAGCCTCAGCAAAGAATGTGGCCCGACCTTCACCTCCTGGGGAGCCAAGCCCGAGGCCCAAGGGGGCTGGGCCGGGTCTCCCCCTCCCTGCAGGCGTCCGGGCCATGGGGGCCACCTTTCCTTCTCTCCACCCTGGCCCCCACCGTGGCCCTGGCCTCACTGGTTCTGGCGCCCTCACCCTGGCACTGGGCACCTGAAGGTGCCTCCCGGAGTATCCCTGGCCATCCTGCCCCCAGCAGCCCAGTTCCTCCGTGTGGCCACCGGCTGGCCATTTGTCACTGGAAGGGTTTCTGGAGCAGCTCTCTAGGGCAGGGTGGAGCGGGGGAGGCGGACTCCTGTTCCAGCTCGCATCACCGGACCGCCTGGCTGCACGGAGGCCCTGGTCCCATCCACTCCTCCAGGAGGTGTGTGCAGGGTGGGGGAGGGCGGAGTCAGCACGGGAGCTGCGTACATCCGTGTGTGCACGTGTCTTGCTGGGTGTGGTGTGAATGCAGGCATGTGCCAGTGTGCACACTCTGCTGTGCCTGCATGTGTGATGCACATGTGTTCCTGCTCATGCGAGTGTGTGTACACACTCCTGTGTAGGTAGGAGCAGGCTGCCATTTCTTCAGCATCCTCTGGCCCCATGGAAACAGCCTGCAGGATGTCCCCTCTCGCTGTCACACCCCCCGGCAGGAGGGCTGGATAGGCCCAGCTGTCTGAGGCCCCTGGGCTGAGAGGGGATGAGGATGACACTCTCATCTGGGGGCCCAGGCAGAGGCCCTGTGGGGACACCGGGCTCGGCAGCGGGGTGGGGCGTGGGGGAGACTTTGCAGTGGGCAGAGACTGAACTGGTGGGCACCTGCAGGTGGACTCAGTGAGCCCGGCTGACAGCCCAGAACCCTGGTTGGAAAAAGCGGTTCTCACAAGGCCTGGCCCCAACTTTCCTGGCAGCTCCTTGCGGTTTGGCCGGCCATCACCTCGGCAAACACGAGAAGCAGGTGCCAGGAAAGGGAAGCGGCCAGAGCGCCCTGCCTCCCGGGCTCTGGGAGGCCGCTTGCGCCCCAGTCGCCTCACGCCCAGCACAAGGTGCCGCCCCGGGGGCCTTCCGGCTGCAGGCACACCCCGTCCTGCGTTTCCCAGGACGCGGCATCAGGAGACGCAGTGCACTGGTCTTGGCTTTGGACTCATGGCCCCTGCCTTGTCCACTGGTTGTTTTCTCTGCTTCGAGTGTTAGGACGCTGTTATTCAGCGAAGAAATTACTTCCTAAAGATGGATAGTGACATAAGATTATGCCTTGTTGATTCTGCATCCTTTTTTTTTAAATTCCTGTCTGTCTTGCATGAGGTAAGAGAAAATAAAAACACTTATAAGAGCCATTTTCTAGAATGAAAGCGTTATGTTGTTTTTCATTAACTGCAAAACCACCTTTCATTTAGTGTCTGGCTGCCTGCGCCTGTCCTGGACTACCTCTTAAACTTCCCGCCAAGACAGAGAGAAACAAAACCCCATAACGCCTGGGACAGCCAGGGGTCACACTGCTCTGAGAATCTGGCCGGACTTTGTGCTGCCGTGAGACGGGCAGACGTCCTGGAAAGCGGGGAGTGCGGCTGGCACTGCTGCCTGGAGGGAGCCGCACCCAGGGAGATGGGCGGCCGTGCGCGCGGGCTCCGGGTCAGGACCCCGGCCTGCGCCAGCCTGGCCGTGAGGGTTGCTTTCTGTGGCTTACATGGAGACCTCAGCCACTAGGAATTAAAGCCAGTCCTCCGAAATAGCTATTGGGTCAGCGAGGCCAGAAGACCGCAGCCCCGGGGCACGTGGGACACAATGAACTTGAAACACTGCTGGTCACTGTCCTGGGATGTGCCAGCCACTCTCCCTGGAGATGGACTGACGGACCTAAATGCTGTCACTGCAAATAGGACTGAAGAGCTAGAATTAGCCAAGTGCAGCAGTTAAAAAGGACAACACAAAACCACCTTGGGGGAAAAACAGATCACCTCACAAGAAAAAACTAAGAAACTAGAGACACAATCAAAAATGATCCATAGCTCCAAATGCTGGTCTATGGGAAACACAGCAACAGATAAGGAAGTCCATGGCAATCAGGGTTTGGAAAAGGGACGAAAATAGAAATGCGCACAGTGACAGCAGCAGCAGACACGCAGGTGAGACACGGAGGTCCCAGTTTAATTGGGACTGTATAAAAATGTGTAAAGATGTGAAAAGTAAACACTGTACAAAAATGTAAAATTTAAAAACTGGATAAAAATATAAATTAACAAAATGGCGTCAAGAAGCACAAGAAAGAATAGGCAGGCGATGACTGTGGAAGATTCTTTTATCATGGGTGTGTACACCTGTCAGAGTTCATCAGGTTGTACATCTGAAATATGTGTAGTTTGCTGTACAGGAGTCAGTCCACAATAAAGGTGTTTTTAAAAAAAAAGATTTCTAAAACTGTTCTCCAGATTCCCTGAGTAATCATTTCAAACATTTGCAGAACAAGAAATTCCCAAGGTGTATCAACTTTTCTGACAGAAGGACTGGATACCTCCTAATTCAGGTTATGGTGATAGCATAACCTTGATCAGGCAGTCGAAACTGATTCAAAAAATAAACTTACAGAGCACCCAGGTGTGAAAATCATAAATGGAGGGCAGCCAATCCAATTCAAGAAGATATGAAAAAGGAATAACCTGGGGTGTCCAAGTAGGGCTTACCCCAGGAATGCGGGTATAGTTCAATTTCAAGAGATGTATGAACTCTCTGACAGCCAAAGGGCAAAGGAGAAAAACCTTTTCCTCTCAACAAATGCCAAAGAGCACTTGACAAACTTCTAAAGCCATCCCCAGCATTCTTAACAAACTCTGAACATAATAGTGCAGAATCTGGGACAACAGTTATCCTGGTGAATGCAAGACCCCAGACTCCTCTCCCATCTCCAGCCCGTCGTGAGGGCTGGCACGTGACCCAGGTGTGTCACTCAAAACGTCCAGCCAGAGATGGGCAGCTGACCCCGTGACAGGCAATCAAAAGTAATAAGACTTTTTACAGGAATTCTGGAACGTATACCCCAGGGGACACACGGTCCGGAGCAGCTGCAGCCATCTTGTGACAAAGGAGAGAGCTGAGCTGGACCATGTGCACGCACTTAGAAACTAGCGTGGGATGCTTGATCAAGCCAGACCTGAATCTTAAAGCCGGGTGGATGAATAAATGCCCTTGAAGCTAATTTGGTTGCTTCCTGCCTTTTGTAATTAAGCGTCTACACTGATAAAGGCTTTAGTTGCAACAGACTATCCACTGACACCACAGTTAGCTAACATTGTTCTGAACATTCCAGCCATTTGTATTTCTACTTGATGAAGCTGTCATTTTATCCTGGAAGGACCAGCAGCTCCCTGCTCAACTCCCAGACCCCGAGGCCCACCAAGCCCCAGCGATACACCTCGAGTATTTGCTGTGGACCACGGGCTGTGCGAGGGCTCTGGGACTGTCCCATTAGCCCTACAAGGTGGCGGACACCATGTCCCCCATGGCCTGAGGAGTGCCGGGGTTAGGGACATGAGCGGCTGGCCCGAGGTCACACGTGTGTGCCCCTCGGCCCAGCGAGGCTCTGGGTGGTTTCTGTCCAAGGGTTTCCTGCATGAGAACACCTGGAGACACAGGACAGGGCCCACCCAGTCTCGGGGTCAAGGTGAGGGTGTGGCCCAAAGGTCAGGGCATCAGGTCACCTGAGCTGCGGGTTGGTGCCTCCCCGTCCTGGGAGGGAGCGGGCTGGGCTTACGGGAGCCGGTGGGGGGGTGGGGGGCGAGGTCCTGTGCTTGCTTAGGGGACCCCAACCTCCACCTTTGGAACACTCACCACATTTCACCACCTCGCCCAGCTGCTGAAGGGATCCCTTCAACGTGGACGTTCTGCCCCGAGCCGCCTGCAGGGTCAGCTCCTTGGGGACGGATCAGCTCCCAGGCCCCAGGTCCCCGCTCCGCAGCTGGAACCTCTCACTCCTCGCCGCACTGACGTCAGAGCCGGAAGTGCTCCCTTTCCGGATGACGACGGGTCTCATCCTGGGTCCTAGGGGGTCAGGCCTGAGTGGAGGCCCCATCTCCGCCCAACCCCAGAGTCCGACACGTCCCAGGCTGCACACCCGACTTGCAGACGTGTAGGGGCTGAGCTGACCCTCGGGCAGCGGCAGGGCTGTGGGGGGCTCCGTGGGTGGCCCTGGCCCAGCCAGTGGGCTTGTCTCCTGCGCCCTGCCCACCTCTGCCTCCTTCCCTCCGCCTCCCCCCCGCCCCGTTCTGGAAACCTCCCGCCTCTGCCTGGCTCTTGGCATTACACGCTCCCCCTCCTCCTCCCCACCCTCTGTCCCGCAGGGACCCCGCGTCTAGCAGTGGCCCTCCTGCCCGCTGCACATTCCTGGCTTCCTGCCCCTGAGGGTGAAGTATGTACAGACCAGGACTCTCTTGGCGACTCCAGGTGAAGGGTCAGCTCCATGGATTTGAAATGTGTTGGCTGAACCCCTGTTGGCCAAGGAGGGTCTGGAGACCTAAAGGACCCAGGGCTCAGCAAGCCTGCTGATCTCTGGGTGGCAGGGCCAGTTCCCAGGGGCTGCAGCTGGCGTGTTGGACTGTCCATGCCGCCGGGGCCCACGGACTTCCCCCAGTGCCCCAGGGCCGGTGGCTCTGTGGGCAGACAGTGAGCAGCCCTGCTGAGCTGGACTGACTGTCTAAGCGGTCAGTCAGGGCTGAGAACATGGCTCAGAGGAGGGTATGGGGGGTCCCAGACCCTGGGGCCTCCCTCACCTGTTCATCCAGTGGCGAAAGCTCTTTCCCTGCCTGACCTGGCCAGACTCCGTGGCCAGTGCAGCAGGTCTGGGCTCCTCTGGGCTCTGCGTGGGTCTTGCCGGGCCTCCAGCTCAGCAGAGCCCTGTGGAGAAGGCAGGAGCTGCCCCCCCCCCCCACCGTACAGAGCAGCAACTGCTGGATCTCCTTCTCCCCAGAAGATGCACCCAGGACACCCCAGTTGACCCCGTGTTTGCTCCGCAGCTCACTCCTCAGGCTCGAAGTCACAAACGTGGGGAGTGCTTGGGTTTCGGGAAGGCTTTTGTCTCCTGCCGACACCTGTGTGGAGCAGCGGCTCCGTCAGGAACACGACCACTCCCTGTGCCCCGGGAGGGCCCGTCTGTCCAGATGCTTGCTGTCCCGGAGTCAGGGGCAGCAGGGGCCTCGCTCCGCTGCATGTGGACTTGGGATGTTGCTGACTATCTTGCGTACTTTGGAGGGTTTTCTGCCTGGTTTGGGTAGTAAACTGTAAACTCAAATCAGCCAGGACCTGGCAGGTGGAGAGCCAGCTGGCCGGGTCCTGACCTCTCGGCCTGGGGTCGGCCTCCCCTGGGACCGCCCAGGGCTGGCGGGCAGGAAACCGGGCTGGTCTCTGCGGTGTCAGCTCCTAGCAGGTGCACGAGATTGGTCCCTAGGGTGCTGGGCCCAGAGCTGGCACCTGAAAATCTAGTCCCTAACGAGGCCTGAGCTGTGGGCCATCTGCAGCGACTGTGTGATGCCCAGAACCTGCCCTCCAGCCCTCCTGGGCAGGCTCGGCCGCTGGGCTTGCGAGGCTGCCTACTGCTCGCAGGGCCTGGGTGCTCCTGGCGTGGCCGGGAACGTGCGCACCTGGGTTGGTCTGTGGTGGTTTCAGGCGTCTCAAGGACGAGGGCCCTTTGTGGACATTCTGATGCCTGGGCCCACCCCCAGAGGGCCTGGGGTGTGGCCTGGACTCAGGACTTTTAAATCTCCTCAGGGGATCCCCCTCTCTGACCGAGACCGAGGGCCGTGCTGGGGCCCCTGACAGTTTACGAGGTGCTGGGGGAGCCCCACACGTTCCCACTCACAGTCCAGGGCACTGGGGCTGTGGAGGCCAGCCGCTGCCTGGCGCTGAGACGGGTGCGCAGCTGAGCGGGCCCTCTCACGGCGGCCCCTCGGGCCCCCCTGGCCTTCCCCACATCACTTCCAGTCCCACTTTGGCCAACTCAGTTCCCCAGCGTCAACGCACGCTTAGCACACACAGCTCCTGGGTTCAAGCCCCGGTGCCTCCTCTAAAAACACATAAACAAGTAAACCTGACCACTCTTCCAAATAAAATGAAGTAAATTTTAAAATTAAAAATTAAAAAAAAGAAAAGAAACGAGGTCCAGCCCGGGTGCTGCCCTGGGGCAGGTCCAGTGCCTCCGTTTCAAGGCGTCCTGGGTGCTGACCTGGAGTGAGCGTGAGACTGAAGGGTCCACGGGTCCGGGTGCGTCTCCAGGAGAGGCGGGGGCCGCCACCCCCTGTGATGCGGGGGCCACGGGCTTCTGGGGGGTGCGTCGGGGCGGGGAAAGGAGCGTGACCCCCGGCAGGCAGGCCCAGTGGAGGTGTGGCCGGCAGGTGTGTGGGTTCAGGGGGGTGGCCCTTGGTGGAGAGGGGGTCCGAGCAGGGTCAGGGCCTGCGGTGGCCGAGGGGGCCTTCAGAGGCCTCCCTGGGCGCACAGAGCAGGGCCCCTGCGCCTCCCAGAGACACCTGCCCGACAGCAGGAGACTGGAGCCGGAGCTGGCCCAACCGGGTGCCCTCTTTCTGAGGATTTCCTCCGAGCCTTCGCTCCTCTGCCCTGCGTCCGAGGGCCTCCTCGGGGATGCCTTTTAATATTCTTGCCAAATTGAAATGTGAGCCACCTACTTACAACCAGGACATCCCGCCCTGGGACGCACTGCCTGGGTCTGCAGAGGGACGGCTCCCTGCCCCCACACCCTTCCCGGCTTTAGGACGGGCTGGCGACCCTGCGGCCACAGTGAGCCCCAGGTCAGAGGGCGGGCTGAGTGCCTGCGACAGCTCCTCTCCCAGGTGTGAACTGTGGGCGGCTGGTGCAGGGCCCCTCCATCCTGACCTGTCCCGTCCTGCTGGCCGGGAAGGCCCTGGGAGAGCCGCCCTTCAACAGAGATCCAGGGGCGGGGGGCCTAGGAGAGGCGGGAGGCTTGGGAGAAGACAGGGCCAGGCCGCCTTTGTATAGAGACCCCGGAGCCCAGCTCCGGTTTGAGGGGCTCTCTCCCGGCTCTCCTTGTCTCTCCTGCTCCCTTTTCCTGGACACCAGCCCTTCCATGGTCTGGCAGGGTCTCTGGGCTGGGGGCTTCCTGGGGCCAGTCCTACCAGGTATGAGCTCACTGAGGCCAGCCCCTCCTGGCCCGGGTGATGACAGTCTCAGAGGCCGGGCTCCCTGGGGAGGCAGTG